TATCAAACTTTACAAGAAAGTGCAACTGTGTCTCTCTCATTCATATCGAAGGAAGGCAATGTCAACATTTATCAGCATTTGTTTTATAAAGTGCCTAGTTAACCCCAACCACCTATTAGTAGTACTTTAAGCAACATTTGGTTATTCTGGGTTCCATTAAAATGTTACAATTTATTGTAATATACAAATACAATTTTTTTACTTCAAACAACATATCACAAAACTCCATAAAGTACATCATCAACAATACTCTGGTTTCAAAAAGCATCCTGGGATTTTTAGGACTTAAAAGAGGAGATTTTCAGAAGCTATCACAAAGAATATAAAGAGAAGACACCTGCTGGATTCTTTTCTGTTTTGCTCTTTAGGGGAAAAAAAAGAAACCTCTCAGTGAAAGTGGTGTTTTGTGTTTCAGTATGTAAAGTCTACTGAAGTGGGTATATTTCCCTTTGCTATCTACTTGGCTCAGTATTCTGCATGTTAAGGCCTGTGTGGGTGGCCCGCCTCATCAGCCAGGTTGAGGATGTAGCCGGCTATGTCATCCTCTGTGGGGATATCAGACATTACCCACGATTCGTTGGCAGCAGTCACTTGCAGACGGCAGATTGGGCAATTTCGGCTCTGGCCACTCCTACGGAAACAGAAGAGGGTGTGTAATTTAATGTTTTACAACGCTATAGATGAATTTGAATAATTCAAGCTTATTTGATTATCTCACCATTTATCAATGCATTTCTGACAGAAGCTATGTGCACAGGGCAGGATGAGGTCAGATTTTCCATCCATGCAGATGCAACACTCCTCTTCATCGGTCAGCTGCTTCACTCTGCATGGAAATGTATATAGAAGAGGGGAAAACAATTTCATTATTTTCTTTAGCGCTAGGCACACTTTATTTTCATTTTTTAGAAATGAAAACAAAAAGCATAAGAAGTGTTTTAGAAACACTTTTTTATGCTCAGGATTCGCCTGAGGATAAATATCTCTCGGGTTATAAAAATGTGTAAAAGCCTTAAAATGACCCATCAGTCACTGCTCCCCTCAACTTTACAGAATAAGGAATCGCTCAGCTGTAAAAAAAACAAACAAACAACAACCTTAAAAATATATAATTCATGCAGATGGTGGGGCATTAAAAAAAACATTTTCTGTAGTATTGCATCAGTAACACCTGTGCTGAGCAGGGAAACTACATTTTGGGCACTTGGAGGCTAAAGCTGGAAACAGCATTGATATTTGCACAAGTGTAACATTTTTAATAGCGCATATGTTCACAAACATCATTACTGCTCAGATGACAAATAAAAGTCCAATATTCATTATTCTTTCAGGTCTGTCGTAGGAAAACTCTCCTTCAAAATCTGGCAGTGATTACAAGTGAGTGCATTCACTGAACAAAGACCTCTGCTGCATGTTGTACCACTGCTCTCTTTTCCCATAATCCCTGTCCACCTTCTCTATTAAAAAACATCATGAAAATCTAATTGTTGTGTGTGCACTTTATATCATAGCTGTCCATTTCCTGGTAACTGACCTGCCCATCCACATGCTGGCCTGGCAGGAGTCAGTGGAGGGAAGCTCGGTTGAGGGGCCCTTAGTGGCACCCTCTGCAGACAACACTTCGGCTGCCTGGCTGGTGATGTCACGATAGAGTTGGATGAACTGATACAGGTTCATGATCCGCGATGCTTCAACCATGCCGTTCTCCTTATTGATCTGGAAGGAAGCAAAGGCAATCACAAGAGCACTCACAGAGCAACTCCCACCAAAGGGCAAAGGTTATACTAAAACTGTGATGTTTTCATGACAACGTGCTGATGTAAGTAGTTCTCATAGATCATTTGTGCTGATGTGAGCATTGTTAATATGGAAATCTAGTGTAGCATATTAATCTTGTTGTTTGCTGTGATTATAATGTATTCAAAAATAATGTTTTAAAGAGTTCAAAGAAAGGAAGTGCTTATGCTACTCAATGATTATTATACTGCTTTAGAATCTGGAAATGATCAGATGGAAAGTTTTTCCTAATTCATGTGATCCTAAACTTTGACCTTGAAACATTACATACTATAATTGTGCATTTTATTATTTTAACCATATGATTGGACCAGAATTAGCTGACATCTTTTAGCTTCTATAACCTGTAAAAACATGAGACTTTAACATCTATTCATGCAGTATGTGATTTTGTGGAATTTTATGATGTCATGTTATGACTCAAGTTGTTATTAGTATCTACCATCACACAAAATTTGAAAATGATATCTTGGAAACTGCAGACAGTTGACATCTAACAGACAGACACAAACAAATGGAACCAACTACATACACAACTTTTTGTTTCTTCATATTAATTATGAAGAAACAAAAACTTTCTAATTTTGTTTGGCCTGGTCAGTGGCAGTGTTACATTACGTTTAAAGTTAAAAACTGATGTGGAACAATGAGTTAAACTGTCAGAGATCTATTACCCTCACCTACCCTGTAATATTATTATGATCCCCAGAAAGGGCTTGATTTTTGTGAAATAGTAAACATGATTCTGATAGGAGTCCATTTCCAAACAATAAATTGGTTTTAACACGGTTTCCACATATAAACACAATTTACAGGAGTATGGTTTCACTCACATCTGTCCCTCTCTGTCATAAATGTTTGGGCAGATGCCTCTGTTGGCATGTGGGGAAGGCTCTTTGGTCTCACCTTGGTACACACAACCCTGACAGCCACCTTCCACAAGGCTGTAGCATCAGATCCTGGCTGCACCTCAAACAGCAGGTGCTTCTGCTGTCCAGCAGCTAGTTTGGCCGTACTGAGAGAGACGGAGGAGAGAGGGGAAAAGGTTATGTTTATCTCCATAAACCATTCCAACCATCCTCCATAAAGCACACAGATTTGATTCATGATGAATGTTAAAAAAAACTATTTTCATTGCGCCTATTTTCATTGCGCCTTCTTTTTCAGGTGTTTTCAATGATTATTTTCATCAATAACACTGCACTGTGTTGTTTATTTTGTTATCACATTAATCTTTTTTTCCAGAATTGCTGTAACAAAACCTTTCTCTACTCCACCTTCTGTTGCATTATCATGCCTTGCAGCTATTACCTCTAGGAGTTTGTAAGCTAAAGGTAAACTGGCAGAACTGTGTCTAATACTGGGGGAATAAGGAAGGACAAATCCCATATGTCATAAAAGTACTGATGCCAGCGCTCAATTTGAAGAGTCTATGTAAAACTAGCCCAAAGGAACACTTTGTGAAATAGATCAAGTTTCTCCACCTATCCATTCTGCACAAAAACTGTTTGTCTTAAAGAAAAGCTATTTGTTGTACGGGAAAGCTAATAATCTTTAACAGACTTACACGTCATTAAGTTCAGCCACTCTTGCTAGAAACTCCTCGTAGCTTAGGTAGCCGCTGTCACGAACCAATCCGGCATGTTTCACCAGCTTCTCAGGCAGATGGTTCATCACCGCCTGACCTGAGATCTGCTGACCCATCCCGGCAGCAGTAGAACTCACACAAGAGCAGAGGCAAAAGGCAGCACCTCATTCAGTTCTTCCAAACCTGGTGGGAAATGATTGCCTTAAATTATTAGTGCCTTAGATTAATATTTTAGTTAAAGAAAGACATACAAAATATAGTGAAAACATACAAAAATGAAGTGTGCATTCATCTATATTAAAATATGCTGTGGCACAGATGATCGTAGGCATTAGAAAATATGGCATGAAGCATACCAAGACCCAGAATTTAACAAACCAAAATTTCAAAAAGGAGCAAAAGGCATAGGACCAAGATAAAGAAGTGTACCTTTCTTTCTGGGATTAATTAAAGGTCACCCGTTCACATTCAGCTGGTTCAGAATGCAACAGCTCGGCTTCTTAGTGGACAGTGTCACATCACCAAAGTCTTTGCTTTTCTCTACTGGCTCTCTGTACATTTTAGAGCTGACTTTTAAAGCATGTTTGGGTCCTTGCTTCCTAACGGAGATATTGGCCCCAAATGAGCTGGTTTGCAGCCTTAGCTTCACAGCTGGGCTTTCTTGGCCATCCCACATTTTTGGCTTAAATCTATGCATCTAGTCGTTCTAAGAAACACGTTTATCAAATTGCTTTCACATTATATTGTTTGTTTTTTGCGTTTTTCCTTTCATCATCACTTATGGTTTCACAATGGTTTATGTATTGCTTTTAACTGAATTGTCTTGTGTACTTTACTGTTATACTTGTTCGCCCCGGCCTTTGATTTTTTATTTTTGCATTTGCTCGTCTAAAAAGTTACTATTACACTAGTAATCCCTTTAAAACTTAGTTGGAAAGGGACAGAATATTAATAAAACACGACTAGATAATTAAAAACACTTAGATGACTATCAGATAATAACAAACTCATCCTCTCCCACCAACTACCTCGAGACTTCTTGTGGCTGCATGCATACATAGAACATATCGATCTGTCAAACCTCACGTAGACCTGACAATAATCTATAAGTCATAAAAAAAATAAACAGCCAAATGCTCGCAGGGGCAGCAGCTCTGCTGTATTAGCTAAATTAGCATCAACATCCAGCGACGCTAACAACGTCGGCATTTATTTTAGACTATACCAGAAGAAGCGAAACGTAGAAAATGAATGAATAAAATGGGATAAATATGATCCTCTGCTGCAACTGTGACACGTAGGTGCTTCTTACCAAACAGTGCAGAGTCCACGTAGGAGGCACCATCCAAATTTCACCACTAGCCTCGCTTTTAGCTTCTGCTTGTCTTGGTACCACAACACTGGCGCGGCTTCATGACGTTGGAGTGTGACGACCTTACGTCAGTCATTTGCGTTGGTAATAATAATAAAATTATTGATAAACAAACCAAAAAATAATTAATCAAACAAATAAATATTAGGCCTACACAACATTTACCCGCTTCTGAAACTTGTTTTGAAAAGATTCAAAATAAATAATAAGTTTGGTCTATAAATTAATTCGTTCCCTATCATTTTTCCTTTCATTTTTTTCCCTATCATTTTTTGTATACATTCTAGAAAGATCTGGATTTTAAAAAAAACTTTACTGAATGTCTGCTGTAGTATTTATAAGTCAAAATAACAATAAATAAATAAATAAATAAAGTAACATAAATATAACTAATAAAAAAAAAAAAAAAAACTAAACAAAAAACAGGAACCAAGCCAACTTTCCTACATTTCCTTAGAGATTAAACAATATAGGACCATGTCAAAAGGAGCTTGCAAAGAAAAGCGTCTGGACTTCTTTAAGTTACTTGAAGACGTTTCACCTCTCATCCGAGAGGCTTCTTCAGTTCTAA